CCTTGTGCAGAGTGAGCCGGACGTGTGAGTAATGTGCCCTTAATAGCACTGTGCTACAAGAGTGTTTCTCCACTGGCTTTGTTATTGGGCTGATCTGTGCAGTGTTTCCAGGAGGGAGTCCCTCTCTGGAGTGGGATGTTGCTGCAGCCTGCCACGAGCTGTGCTCTTGGACAGCTTGCAGTGCCCTGCCTGTGCCAGCTACAGCAGGCAGAGGGACTCCCGCAGCGACAGAGGGGAATTAAGGGCACGATAAGAACATTGGTTTAGACCTTATGGGCCTTCTCGATGACCAGTACCGCTTCCTACGGAGAAATCTTTCTTCCTGCAATATGGGAGAGCACTACCTTCTGTGGATGGCAGAGCAAGGGTTGGCCTGAGGATGTTGTATGCTCTCAGGGGATCTCAGAATGTTCTGCTCAGCTCCTGTCTCTCCTCCTTTGTTTCCACCCCTTGGCTGTGGCATGTGGCACTTGTACTTGGTTCTCGCCCTGGTCCTGTTATGCAGCTGTGCAGATGCTGGCTAAAGATATGGGTAGGTGGGGGCAGGAGGAGATGCTGCCTGTGTCCTAAGGGCCAGACTTTATACATACTTGAATTTCTAGTGGAAGATGGCAAATCATTTGTGTAATTCATTGGGACAACCTTAAATGTTGTTTGCCTAGTGCGTTTTCTATTAATCATGCAGTGGTGCTGCTCCTAACAAATGTCAGTGATGGTTGTGAGAAGTCCCCCAGACATGGTGCATTCAGCTGTCAGATGAGAGGAGAAGATAACACCTGATAACATCTCTCCTGTGGGTAGTCACACAAGACCTTCAATTTGTGTGGGCAAGCACAGCCACTCCCTTTCAGGGCCAAATGCTTAAGGAAGAGCTGATGTTACTTTTTCAGACCCCATGAACTGAACAGTGGTAGCTTTCAGAGCAGAGGACACTGATGTTTCCTGATTTCCAACAGGTCTATGTTATGTGGTGGCCTTTCTTGTCTCAGAGGCCCCATCTCTTTTATTTGCAAGGAGCACCAAGGAAAAGCCTCCTGCCTCTACCTGCAACCTGCTCTCACAAAGCAGGGAACCATGTTGTTCCACCAGAGCAGTGGCTGAAAAAAGTTGTTTCTTTTGGAAGCCAGGTCAGGAGACACTTGGCAGGTAGCTCAGTCAGGCCTGATCTTAGACACCTGCGATGTTGGTGCCTCCCAGTTTGTCAACCTCATGGAAAGGTTCAGTAGGAGGGAAGGCCAAAAGCAGAGTTGGGGTTTGGCTTCTTGGTCTGCTGCAGCCTCTGTACAAGGTTTGGAGCCATGTCTTTATTTTTTCTCATTTCCTGGATGAGGTCAGACAGGGTGGGCTGAGCACTGAGATCATGCAGACATGGCCAAATAGCATATTTGGCAAAGAAAGGAGAGAGCGTGGCAGTGTCCTTCTGAACCATCTGGCTGGCAGAGGCTGCACGACTCTTCTTTGGAGATGCTGCTGGGTCATTTATTGCCTTGCTTGGAGCCTTGTTTGGGGCTGAATTGTAAGTTGGGTAAGAACTTCCTCTCCCAAACCTTACTTCTTTGACCTAGGCTATTGCAAGAAATGCTTACCAGTGTCCCTAAATTGTCACTGCCATGGGTTCCAGCATTCAGGTGTGAGTGTGTTGTGATGATGATTGGATTATCTCTTTTACATATATTTGGTTTACAATGATGAGGTTAAAACCATGACACTAAAATCAGCAGGACCAGCCCCACATCTGATTAAACCCTGTCCACCATTTATCTCTGCCTCCCAATGGTCTTGCAGTATATGCTCTTTCTGGATGAAATCTCTCCAGGATTTGCTCTCGGACCATTGATGCTTATTTTTGGTGGTGCCTTCACTCCATTTGATTGTGCTTCAGCTCTGGCTCAGCTGGTGGATGATTAGGTGGGAAGTCAGTGTTTCCTGAAGAGCCCGTTCCTGGCCAAGCAAGCTGCCAGCTCAGCCACCTGCCACGTGCTTGTGTTTCTTTCTGCCTTTTTTGACTTTTGCTATAGCAGTCATCAAGAATTTGAGTCAGTGTGTGGCAGGCAGTTGCTCAGGATTAGGAGGAGTTTACCAGCAAGATTATTAACATAGCAGAAAAATCAGAGGGAGCTCCCGGCAGGTAGGGGAGGTCTGACAGTGTTGCTGAATTGCAAAAAATGCCCTCAGTGATGCTTTTCCAAGCTCCAAAAGAGGCCAACGTGCAAAGTAAAAGTTCTGAGATGCACGCATGGTGCAGATTTATGGCACAGCAACGTGTACTTCTAACATAACAATCTCACTATGTCAGCCGTGTAGGAATGTGTTAGTTCCTGCATCTTCCTGAGACAGGAGGCACGGCCGTTATCACAGTTCATCTCCTGCAGGACAGATCCCGCGGATCAACGTTTTGCAAAGGCTGGAGTTCCTACTGACTCATGCAGAGGGTGGGAAAGAGAGATTTGAAGTGTGCAGGTTCATTTCTCCACACAGAAATGCCAGTCTCATCTGTTGTGGTTTGCAAACAGTTTGAAAATATCTGCTTTATGGTTTTTGGAGCGCTGTGCTTGAGGACTGTTCAGTCACTGGGCGGGCGTTACCCTGCCGCAGGGCAGGCTGGTTTTGCTGCAGGGCTGAGTGGTGGAAAGCTGTTGGAAAGGTGAGTTTGGGCACGTGTGCTTTGCTGAGGGTCCTTGGCAAAGGTGACACATAATTTCAGAGGAGTGCCACAGCTCAGCCAAGACTAAACACAGCAGAAACACACCCATGTGTCTTGGGAGAAGGAATTACGTTTGTCAGTTGGACCTTCTGCGTGTGCTCGTTTAGTCTTACTGCCAAAGCCTGAACCCCTGGGGACGGGTGAAAATTAAACCACGGTGGTGCTGTCTCACCTTGCAAGCTCAAAATGTTCAAACAGACTTTTGACAACTCCCTACAAAAAACCAGAACAAAACGCAAACACCAGATCTTGAGCTACTTATCTTTTTTGTGAGTCACCAGGATGTGTTGGGCTCACTCACTTTTCCAGAGTCAGGTCAAGAGAGGTTTTGATTTTTTAGTTTTGTTTTGTTGTGGTACCCAGGGTCCATGTTTCAGACAGTGTCTCGTCCATCCACTACACTTCAACCCCCAACTAATTGATTCTGTCCTTTTAAACAATTGTGGAAGGGAGAGGTTATGTCAGGGACCTGCTCTGGTGCCTGCAGCAATGAAAATAGGAGGTGAGAGTCCTGGAGCGAGAAGATGCGCTGCTGGAGGTGGTTGAGACAACAACCCTGAAAACCTTTTTAGCCCAGAACTTCCCATCAGGTTGTACAGTGGTGTCACGGGGTGGGAATCGGTCGCTTTGGGCCAGCTCTGGAGCAGTTGCTCTCCCTCACAGAGCTTCTTCCAGTGCAGTCTCACAGCTGTGGTGCTGATGTTGAGGCTTGCTAGGAGTTGATCTTGGAGGTGAGATTTCTGACCATTATTATGGTTATTTGGGACACAGATATTCTTACCAGTCTGTTAAAATGTTTTGGAGTGAGGTAGCCGTTCGGTGCACCCACAAGCAATTGCAGATGGCAAATTTTCAGGCATAAAGAGGCTAATTTTGGAGCCTTTTGCTAACATTAATTTGAAAATGGGCATGAAATTCTGAGTATAGTTATAAATCGCTGCAATGGGAGGTCAGTCTCTGCTGGGATGCTGGCCTCTCTGAAAGATAATAAAAACAGGTGAGGAGAGGAGGGTATTTTTTCTCTTCTGTTACAGCATAATTTTCACCCAGGTTTCTCTGCAGGCGAGCCCTCTTTCATACAAAATGCCAAGTCTCCAATAAACGCTTATGCCTGTGCTGAATCATGTTAAAGTGTTAATGGCCCAGCAAGGAGGGGGGGTGGGGTGGGGAAATCAGGCTCTTTTGCTAACACATTTAAAAGTGACCTTTTATTTTACTGTCTCTTCCATTCCTCTTTCTCTTTTTTTCTTGTCAAAATTTTTTTCTTGGACACGTGAAAGATGATCATTTCCCAGCTGTGACTTCAAATGTAGAAATATTTATGTAGTGCGATGTAAATCATGCAAAGCCCAGACCCACTCTTGTACTGACGATAGGAAACGGATAAACCTACAGTTGTGAAGAATCCAGTTGGAGTGAAAAAATTTACATCCTCCCTCCCTCTGGAGACTTTTCTTTTGTCTGCCTGGATTGGAAACATAATCATTGCGATTAATAAAGTCTTGTAGATATTTATGTGTGAGAAGTCTTTGTGGAAGTACCATTGAATGGCACAGGCTGTTTAGCCTGCAACCCAGCAGAGGGGCTGAGGCTGATCTGCCCGCAGCAGGTTGACGATGAGAAGCACCAAAATTCAGGCCTCTGGCTCAGCACTGTCCCGGTCCCTTGTTTGCACTGGGAAGCACATGGATACATACTAGGTGTAGTTTTCTCTGTCTCCCATCCCACCATCTTCCTCAGCTGGGTCCCGCGCTTGCTCAGCTCAGCCCTGCTACGTCACTCTTTATTGCCCCAGATACAATTATTAGCAGCTGTGTTCCATTCAACATGGCAAGTAAATTAGCACCTTAAGTTGCTTTTGTTTTTGCAAGTGTAATTAAAATGAGTCGGCCTGTATTTTAAACTGCTGAAGGGGCAGGGAGTGTGCTTTCTGTGTCTCGGCGTGGACTCTGGGTCCTCCCCTGTCTGCCTGCAGGTGTATCAGTCACCTGGCAGCGCTCCTGCAGCAAAGCAAGTCACCTTCTGCTGCTACTGGCTGTGACGGATACCAAGGCATTGCCACCAGAAGCACTCTGAATGGAGGAAAATACTCTCTTCAAAAAATGAGTCTGTGCTGTTCACACAGAAATCCAACTTACATCAAAATACCAAATTGCCAAAGTTTGCTGCAATGGCTCATGCAGATTTTTAAATAAATTTGTGTTTCTCTACCTTATATTAGTCCCAGCTGAGATCTTCTTTTGTACAGAAAGCAATGAGGTAACCGAAGTGTTTTGTTTTGCTTTGTTTTTGACAGGAATCGACCAATGTGGTTTACCAAGCCCATCACGTCAGCAGGAGTAAGAGAGGACAAGTCGTCGGTACCAGGGGTGGATTTCGAGGCTGCACGGTTTGGCTAACAGGTATTTTTGTCTGGGCGTGAAAGTGTGGCTTCATGTGTGCAAGCTGCTTGCATACATGAGTATGGCTCAGGGGTGGGGATTTGGGATCCGCAAGAAATTTCAGCATTCCTTTTCCTGGGAATTGCAAAACATTTACACTTGGGAAACACTGACACACGGTGCTGGCACAGCAAGACGTTCTCCCTGGCAGCTACTGCCCATAACTAATGTTTTTATGAATCTCACAGCTGTTATCAGGCTCCTTTGAACATGTCAGAAGCCCTAAGGGTCGCACTTGTTGTTCCCAAGTGTGTGGCTGAGAGAAGCCTAGGCTTCAATCCAGCCAGTCCTTAGCAGTGAAACGTGCCCAGGGTTGTTCTAAACAGCATGCGGATGTTTTCATCCTGGGCCGGTGGGAAGTTTATTGGGACACCTAGGTTTACTGGTTTACTGTGTTTAAAGTGACCTTATAAGCAGCACAACGTCAGTCGTCTTGTCTGAAGAATAAATACTCCCAGAGAGCAAGGCACACTGGAAGCTATTCCGTGCATAGTTGTTGCAGGTTTCTTATGTTCCTTCTCATTTCGCATGCCTTCAGATGTGTTGCCCTTCTCTTCTGCTTTGAAAGATAAACTCATTGTTTGGAGATTAGGGGCTGCTAGAAATTACAATCGCATCTCTTTTGTGCCACTAATATTTACACAACTCTTGCTGCTTGTCCAGTTGTTTCTTTGCTTGTTAAATATTGGTATTTTCTTTGACTGCTGGATGGTGTTGAAAGATATACTTGGAAGAGTTTGTAAAGGCATTCTGATTTGCCTTCATATCAGTTTATGTGCTAGATGTTGGAATGAAACACATTTCTGTTCTGTTCTCCTCTTCAATTTCGGAAAGAAACCCAATGCCTGATCTGCTTTGATATAATTTCTGAAGGCAAAAAAACCCTATCCAAGGCAATTTCCTTCTTTTTCGAATATCACTCAGAAATCTTGTGTCTGAAAGGTTTGAGCTTCTCTGGCTGATGATTATTCTTTAAAATAAACAGTGGTCTCCTAACTTTCTATCAATGTAATTTTAAGAGGCTATACAGCAGGACATTTCATTGCAGAGAATAGATGGATGAAATGGAAGGACATTTGAGTGCGCTACATTGCCAGCTCAGGAGAGCTTTCACTTAGTCTGTTGCACTACAAAAAACAAAGGCACAACCAGCAGGATTCCTCTCTGCCCAGCCAGGTTTCCTCTCCAGCATGACCATGTCTGTTCTGCATCAGACCAAAAGTCACCTTGCCCAGGGTCTTGTCTCCATGAGTGGTCAATAGTAGGTGTCATGCCTAGGGTATAAAAACAGGTGAGCAGATGATGCCATCTCCATGGGAGATTCTCCAAGGCTGTTTCCTGAGACAGGTGTGGTGTTTGGAGGTGTTATCTCTCCTAAGTCAAAGTCCTCTTCCATCTCAAGCTGTTTTCAACACGTAGATCCCTACCCAAGTCAAAGGAGGAGTTTGGTGTTCCAGGCACACTGGCTGCTTCCTGACACAGCCAGTAGAAAGTGCTTTTTGTGAAAGTGGCTGGAGCTGGGTCAGGAAGCAGCCACCTCATTTTGGATTGTTGTCTTTCTGGCTGATGACTCTGGGAGATGTGGGCAGCTGAAGATGTGCTGCTTGTCTACAGAACCATCCTGCTCCCGCTCACATGGATCTGTGGGTGCTGCTTCTGTAGAAGGAGGTATTTGTGGATACAGAGGGACAGTTGCTGCTGCTGAAGCCTATCCCACACCGCATGGTTGCAGCAAGAACCTCTCCTTGGCTTCAGTCTGGGAGAGCAGTTGGCTGTTCAGAGGGGGAACAGGATGACAAGGAGGAAGATGCTGAGAGGCTTACAAAGTAGCAGCATCTTTTCAAGCTTCCTTTATTTACTGGTACCTACTTGTCCCACCATGGCCCAGCAAGAGGTGCTTTTGCAATACTGCTGGGTTGAATACCTTCAGATGTTGGGATGTAGCAGCTTTTCTCATGGCATTAAAGCCACCTCTTCAATGAGAAGGGTTGGCCAGGGTTCTACACTGGTAACTGTGTGCTAAAAAGATAAATCCAACTTCCCTACCTCATTCCTTCCTTAAAGCAGCTTCAGAAAGAAGGAGTTCATTGCCAGTGTCCCAGCAGGTATTGCATTACACTGTCATTTTCACTCTTTGGACCTCAAACCGGAACCTTGCTTTTCTGTCTCCAACCAGGCCTTTCTGGAGCTGGCAAGACAACCATTGGCTTTGCTCTGGAAGAGTACTTGGTCTCTCATGGCATCCCTTGCTATTCCCTGGATGGTGATAATGTTCGTCATGGCTTGAATAAAAACCTGGGTTTCTCGGCTGGGGACCGCGAGGAGAACATCCGCCGCATCGCAGAGGTGGCCAGGCTATTTGCTGATGCTGGGCTTGTCTGCATAACTAGTTTCATTTCTCCTTTCACAAAGGTAAACTGCCTGTGTCATATTCTGTTCTTTTCTGGGCAGCCTTAATCTCGGGATTGTTCTTAGGGAAGAGAGATTTACACAGAGGACTTCCTATATATGCCATCAGATGCTCCTTTTAACTTTTCTATTCTTTTGTAAAACACCACTGATACAAAGAACTACACATAATCAGTACAGATTTCTGAAGGGCAGTTTGACATGACCTCTTGGAATATATTCAATATTATGAATTGATTAAAAGCTAAGAGAAGTTTAAAACCTCCTTACAGAAGCCCCTACTATTAACTTTTTAGGAGGCAGACAAGAGGCATAGAAACAGTAGCCTGTCATAGTGCTATCACATGATTGGGTTTTTATGCTTCCTGACAATACAAGTAGCTGCTGTTATCAAGCTGATGCAAGCAGTTCCTTTTCTTGACACAGGGCAGATAATTATTCACATTCTAAAGTTCTGCTGTCCTGCTTAACGGAGAGATATTGATGTTTCAGATGGGAAAAGCTGAAAATGGATCAAAGCTGTAGTTACTTGGGGTTATTTTTTAGAAGTGTCTTTAAAGAAAAGGGGGAAAGGGAGATGAAAATCCCTTATTAGAATTATGACAAGCATATAAATTTAATTTAATAAATTTAAATTTAATAAATCTATACCAGAGATGAATGTACCTGTGTCAAATTCCAGGGCATGTCATGTAGTAGGGAGGCGCTTGCTGCGATTCAGACCCGATTTTTCTGTCTTTTTTCTAACAGGATCGTCAGAATGCACGGAAAATTCATGAGGCAGCTGGGCTTCCTTTCTTTGAAATCTTTGTAGATGCTCCTCTAAATATTTGTGAAAGCAGAGATGTGAAGGGCCTGTACAAAAAGGCAAGAGCTGGAGAGATCAAAGGTATGGAAGAGCGAGCTCATATTTTGCCTTTTATTTTCCAAAGCATTGGATAGCTTCTTGTTGCAGCTCTGCATATAGAGGTGGGCTGCTAAAGGCTCTTTGTCAGCACAAGAGTATCCCATTTCCCTAATTTTGCTGTCATAAGTGTCACTTGTAGTACCCAGTATGGTTGAATGCTCGCTGGTTGTTTGTACAGCTTTGTTGGCTCTAGGGCACTGAGTGTTACATTAAATAAATTTAGTTTGGATTTAATTGTCCGTAGGATTCACAGGGATTGACTCAAAGTATGAGAAGCCTGAATCTCCTGAACTAGTCTTGAAAACGAATGTTGCGTCGGTGTCTGAATGTATTCAGCAGGTTGTGGAGCTCCTCCAAACACAAGTAGGTTGTTTTTATGCCGTTGCCACCGGTGTGCAATTAAAAACCAGTGTGTGACTACAATTGCTGTCTCTCTCTCTTTCAGAACATCGTGCCCCATGGCTCAATTAAGGATGTTCTGGAGCTGTTTGTGCCTGAAAACAAACTTGATAGTGTCCGAGCTGAAGCGGAGATGCTGCCATCCGTGGAGATCACTAAGGTATGGTTGTGTGTGGGTGCTGTGCTGGGAGTCGCTCGTTACTGAGCTGTTGGAAGGGCAGAAGAATTGACTGGGATGCTGCTAGAGGGGGCTCTGTTCCTCTGGTGGCTGTGTCCTTCTGTGGCTGTGGTTTATGGTGAGCTGGAGTGTGGTCCTGATACTCAGCCATTTTCTGCTGTGTCTCCTCCCTGTGCTGCAGCCAGCCGGGGCCGTGAGTCTCCTTTGCTGTGTTAGTACAGCCCCACAAGCAGTTGTGCTATCAAAGTACCTGAGTCTGGCTTAAAAAAAAACCCAAACCAACCCCTCTGTGGCTTTCTCCCCCTTTATGAATGTCCTGTATTTGAAGCCAGACAAGTGAGAGTGCTGTTGCAGCAGAAGGGAAGGAAAAGCAACCTCTGAGCGTAACCTGGTGACAGGAGTGCCCTTTGGGTTTGTTTTGCAGCTGGATCTGCAGTGGGTGCAGGTGTTGAGCGAAGGCTGGGCCACTCCGCTGACCGGCTTCATGCGCGAGGCAGAGTACTTGCAAGTGATCCATTTTGGCACCCTGCTCAATGGTACGAACCCCCACGCTCTGTGCTGACGCTGGCTGGCACGCTGCTGCGGGACAGGGTGCTCACCCCGCCCAGCCTCGGCAGGCAGCTGAGCCCAGCCGTGCTCTCATCCTCCTCTCCTCTCGTGTGTTAAACGCGGGGGCTCGTGAAGGACCGCGGGGGCCAGGGAGCTGGGCTCTGAAATGCACCAAAGGGTACTGAAGGGTACTGACAGAGTTCACCATGTGGTGGACAGGACCCTGGCTCACAGCTTTGACATCTCACATGGTGCTGATCAAACATTTCGGGAGCCATTGTGCAGCTCTTTTCATGCTTGGTTATACCAGGGTAAATAAAGATGCAAACCCAAAGCCAAGTAAGCAAGGAAGCTGCCAGGCTGAATTTGAGGTGGGAGGAGAAGGCAGCTGTTCCCTGGAAGCAGGAGCAGAGCCTGATTTAATTATTTTTTTTCCCCTGCTTTCCTGTTTGTCATTCACTGTAACTTGAAATAAATCAGATTTATTTATTCATTAGCAACATGTTAGAGGTGCTTCATCCCTGGAAAAGGCAAACAGTATCCAGGCAGTGATCATCTACAGCTGAGAGCGGGGCAGTAGATATTTCTCTCCCATTTCTCAGCTGTAGTTGCTGTCGCTGTGACTTCACATGCGCACAGGGTGCTCACTTTGGGTTTTGTAGACCTGACAGTGATCTCTGGCCTCAGGGATTTGGGATCTTGGTGAGTGAGTCTCTTCTGGTCTTGCCCTCCTTCTAGAGGCTGTTTGGGGCAATGACTTGCTGCTGTTGTTAGGATTTGGGCACCGTGAAGCAGATGCAAAGCTCAGAGCTGCTCACTTTGGACTGTAGTGGAGTCTGTGTAGGGGCTTCTGCTTTTGGACATGTTGTAGCCTTTTACCTCCCTCTCAGTGTGCAAAGAAGTGTTCAAAAGCACGTGTCCTTGTTACCAGACCCCGATCTGTGGTCTCTGAGCTACCTGCTGTGCCTGATGAGGTCGCAGAGGTGCCCTGTAATGACCACGTTGCTCCAGAGCTCCGCACTTTGTGCCAGAAGCTCGTCTCAGAACACATCTGTTTTTGGGGTGCCCCTCTGCCAATGTGTCAGTGTCACTGAGCACACCTTCTCCGCCAGCCTTGGCCATATGTTCAGGATTTGTATTGCTCCACAGGGTCAGAGACAAAGCCCAGAACACCAGCTTTTGCAGGGGGATGAACTCTCCAGAGCAGGGTCTTTGTAGTAGAGGGCATTGACATCTGTCCCTGGTAGACATTGTCCCCACGGAGGTCTCCAAACTCAACATCTGTGTGGTCAGGCTGCAGGGTGACATCTGGGCCGGAAGGAGAATCTTCCTGCTTTGCTTGGGCAAGCTTTAGGAAACATGGAGGTTTCCATCTCACAGTGCCGAGGCTGGGGTGCAGCGTTGCCAAAGAGAGGTTTGAGGCTGGTCTTTCCAGAGTCATTGGTCCAGCCCTTTTGCTCTGGGGTGCAGGTTTTTGACAACTCCAGCTGTGCCCCGAAAGGCTGCAAGTGTTGTGGTGGACTTGTGCAAGCCAGCGCTCCTCTCGCTTGGACGTCGAGCGGTAAATCCCAGGGTGGTACCACCAGCAGTTGGGTGGATGAGGTAGGGGCACGATGGCCACCTTGGGGTAGGGGCACGATGGCCACCAGGAAGAAAGATGGATCTGCACGTCATAGCGCAGCACGAGCGCCGCAGAGCCTCCAGCTCTTATCCACTTGGTGAAGCAGCAGTGCCGGGCAGCACGGCCTGTGTGGGACGGGCGAGCGCCGCAGGGGCTGGGGCAGCACCGCCAAGGAGCCTGGCCGGGCCAGCAGGAGCCCTGCCTGTGGCTCAGCCGTGCTTGCCGGAGGTTTTACACGAGCGGTGCTGGTTCTTGAAACGGCTGCTGTAACTGGTGCCCGTGAGTGTTAATTATCTTAATTGTGTTTGTATTCTCCCAGGAAGGAATCGCTCTGTAGCTGGTATGTATACAACTGTTCTTAGGTTGTATGGAAATTACTTCAATTTAGATTTTTTTTGCTATAATTTTCTGAGATTTAAAAAAAAATAGAAAATTATTAAGGCTAGTTGCAAGCATAGCCAGTTTATGATTCAGCTGGCTGCAACGTGTCATGGCACACCCCGTGTCCTAACGACCAATCTTCACAAAAATCCCAGTCATGTAATTTTGTAATTACCTTTGCTGGAGTGATTTTTAATTTTTTTTTTTAAAGTCTGCCTCTTGCATTTAGAAATGGAACATGATGATCCTCAGCTTCAGCATCATTTGTTAGTTTTGGAATTCAGCTTTTTCCATGCTGACTTTATTGACTGATCACTGGTTAATATAATTTAAATGTATGAAGTTGATATTGATTGGATCCCATGTGACTATAGTTATGATTATTCATGAAGGTGCTTGAAAATTGCTCTCTGGCAGATGAATGATACCTGGTCATGAATTAAAAGTAAATGCAAACACTTTAATAAAGATTTTTTAAAATATCTATATCATAGTCAAAATCCTCAAATTAAGACTCTCAAAGGTCCAAAATGATTTCAGTCAGATCAGGACAAATTGAATCAGTGATTTGTTTATTTTTGTTTGTGAATAGAAACCCATGTGACTGACTGATTCTTCTGTATTAATACTGGGATATCCAAGGAGAAATGGTAGGACCTTAGTGGACAGCTAGGAAATTGGGGGAGTGGGGAAAAAAGCCAACATGGTATTGAGGGACAACACTGAAATTAGAAACTACATGTGCAAATGCAGACTCACTGTATATACACAGAAAACAGATTAAAAATGGGCTTTGCAGAGATATAAAGGAGAAGGAGTATCCAGAAAAAAAGCAGAGGAACAAAGCAGAGCGTGTGTTTTCCCTGTTGGAAGAGGCAGCTCAAGAGATGTGCAGGGAATGAGATGCCCCAGGGAACAGCAGGCTGGAGCCATCTTAATAGAGGTTGTTCTCTCGCCAGAGGTTATATCCAGGGTTGAATGTTTAAATTTTTCAAAGAGACTTCACAACAAGCTAACTGGAGAACCACCACTCTTTCCAGGGAGATAGAGTACAGTAAGTAATGAAATGCTCCAGGTGTCTTTGAGACATCTCTGACCCAAAGATAAGGAGCTTTTTTATTCCACTAACATGGCTGTGTATTAACAGTGCAGAAAAAAATGGGGCAGTGAGTAAATTTACACACCTGATGATGAGTCCCTGAGCTAGTCCTGGAAAATTTGACTTTCCAAAGAGAGAACGTGTGCCTCTGAAACTCCCAAGACAAGTGCCCGAGGCTGGAGGATGTTCAGATCCCCCCCCCCTCTCTTGCCAGACGGCGTAGTCAACCTGAGCATCCCGATCGTGCTGCCCATCTCCACGGAGGACAAGCAGCGCCTGGAGGGCTGCGAGGCGCTGGCGCTCAGCTACGCGGGGCGCAGGGTGGCCGTCCTCAGGAGCCCCGAGTACTTCGAGCACCGGAAGGAGGAGCGCTGCGCCCGTGTCTGGGGCACCACCTGCGCGAAGCACCCCCACGTCAAGGTGGGTTTGTCCCCTGCTGCTCTGGGACGCCTGGCCGGGGTGGGAAATGCAGGCAGGGGCTGGAGAACTGAACCTCTCCAAGCTTTGGAGGGCCACGAGTGTCCTATCTGCTCACCAAACACTGTTTTGTCCCAAGCGGGCAGGACAGTATTTTTAGGCTCACGAGTTAATGCTGCACTTGCTGCTTAACAAAAGCAGCAGATAACAAGCACCAGGTGAAGGGGAGAATGAGCGTGCGGCCGAGGAGCTGCTCCTTTCATTCACCTGCCTTCACTGGTGTGCCAACATGAACACCGACTCAGCCCCCAAAGTTTTCCTGCGCTTGGGGTGTATTGATCTCAGTGGTGCTCCCAAATGCTAATGCTGCAGATTGCTGACTTGTGCTCCTTCTAGCTGTGTTTCATTCCTCAATTCCACTGTTCTGTACAGGCAGCCAACAAGGGTGTTATATTTTTACAGCTTATCTCCTCACACTTAACTCTCTGGCAATACAAAGAACATCATCCCTTAGAAAGGGAGAGCTCCAGGTTACACTGAGTGACTTGAGCCATCTGCTTAAAAAGGCTAAAGCTGTGCTAATTCTTCTGTACCTTCTTTTAATTACTCAGCAGCGTTGCTCGCCTTGCCACAGGCTTATTCTTCCTGCATATTCCCAGGAGGAAGGAGCAAAGAGTGAGGTGGAGGGGGGGTCTTGTGCCAGAACTTGTAGACCCCTGGCTGCCAGAGAGGAGGGACACAGTTGGCTCATGCCTCACTACGGGGCTGCACTGCTCATGTTCAGTTCACATGGTCCCTGTAAGAATGTTTTCTGCCTACAAAGTGCTGAATGAGAAGGAAAGCTCACCCTACAAGCAGAGTCCAGTCTAACACTTTTCAAAGGAGACTGGGAAAGGGAAAAGGAGATATTCTGCCGTCCCCTCCATAATGCATGCGTGCGTAATTCACAGATGGTGATGGAGAGCGGAGACTGGCTGCTTGGTGGAGACCTCCTTGTGCTGGAGAGGATCAAATGGAATGATGGGCTGGACCAGTACCGCCTGACACCGCTTGCTCTCAAGCAGAAGTTCAGAGAAATGAACGCTGGTGAGTGCCCTGGGTAGCACTGGTGGTATGGCTCTTCTTGCCTTACCTGGCACCGGGAGGTTTGTGTGATCTGGGATTACTCGTCCTCAAGCTCACAGCACTTGCCAAATTGCTTCTCTATGCTCCCAAAATGGGACTGTTTGGGTGGGATGATAAGTAAGAGGGATGCAGGGCATAGCACAAAAAGTGGTGCAGGGTCTGCTTGTGATGGGCTGCACCCTCAGTGGGCCTCTCCGAGCACAGGGCTGAGAAGCGCTGAGCGTTCTGCTCGTGTCCTCCCTGGCAGGGCAGAGCCTCTCTTTCTGCACCCAGGGCATTTAAAGCCCTGCGCTGGCGTACTTGGCCTTCAGGCGTGGGGCACAGCTCAGGTGTCATCTCCCAGGTTTCAGCCCAGTAGGCTGGTGCGCGTCAGACCCCTGCCTTCACTTTGGGGAGAGGGTGTTGGCCTTCCTGAAGGTACCATTGAGCTTGGAGAGGTGGCAGGTCACTTAAGAAGTCAGTGAACTCAGAGGTGTCCAGTGACATGTAAAAACCATTGTAGAAGAGCTTATAGGACTGAAATTGGCCCCAGAGGCAGGATGTGCAATGAAAATGTACTTGGCAGAGTAATGAAGAGGCACCATACACATATGAAACACTCGTCTAAGGCCTCTCTCAGGTGAAAATAGGACACACATCTTACAACATACATATCTTACAACTGTGTTGGAATGTGTAGTGTGTAAATGAAGCCACAGTGTCTGATGGTCAGCACAAGCCTGTGACCCTCTGAATCTTTCCCTTTCAGATGCTGTCTTCGCATTTCAGCTGCGCAACCCCGTCCACAACGGGCACGCCCTGCTCATGCAGGACACACGGCGCCAGCTTTTGGAGAGGGGTTACAAAAACCCTGTTCTTCTGCTGCACCCCCTGGGAGGATGGACCAAAGATGACGATGTCCCGCTGGATTGGCGCATGAAGCAGCATGCAGCGGTGCTGGAGGAGCAAGTCCTGGACCCCAAGTCGACCATTGTTGCCATCTTCCCCTCTCCCATGCTCTATGCCGGCCCCACGGAGGTAACGTAGCCCCCAGCTGCTCACTATGACGAGGCGTGAAGCCTGCCTGCTGGGGGGGGGGCTGCTGCCAGCCTGCCGGCACAGCTCAGTGAAGCCCTGGAGAAGGGAGTTGGTAGCTGCTGCCTCCATGGTTCGACTGCAGCTCGCTGTGGCAGCTGTCTCCCGGCAGAGCTTGGCTCCCTGGGCTGTGTGGAGAGCTGGGGAGAAGGGGGCTAGAACAGACTTTACCTCGCGGATCTTTTTCTCTGTCAGGCAGGGACACTTATTTTTCTCCCAGTGGTTTCCCTTCTGTCCCTAAATGGGTGGGATGAAAGTGGTGGTGGCTGAACGTCCCCTGAAGGAGAATGGAGAGGGATGCATGGGCAGCCTTTGCCTGTGCAGGCCCAAGGGCTGGTGGGCACTGTCTTTGCATGTGCAAAAAGCAAACCGCTACCTCCATTTGCTGCCAGATTGGAACTGGACCAGTTCCCATCCCCAGTGTTTCCCTTAAACTACATGTCCTTAGGAGAACTGTGATGTTGCATCAGGTCCAAGCAGTGGTAGATGAGTCTGGGCAGCCTGATGGCTGTGAGAAACTACAGCTGCTGATGCATCTCCTTCCTGCCTTCCCTCCTGCCTCCCTGCCTTCCTGTGTGTGGATCACCAGGGTCTCTCCTGCAGCCCAGGGCAGGCAGCTCATCTGGTGCTCAGCCCTCAGGCAGTGCTCCCTGTGTCTCCTGTACAGGTGCAGTGGCACTGCCGGGCTCGCATGATTGCTGGGGCCAATTTCTACATCGTGGGGCGTGACCCTGCAGGCATGCCTCACCCCGAGACCAAGAAGGACCTCTACGAGCCCACACAGGGAGGAAAGGTCCTCAGCATGGCCCCAGGCCTGACCTCAGTGGAAATCATCCCCTTCCGGGTGGCTGCTTACAATAAACTGAAAAAGGCCATGGATTTTTACGACCCAAAAAGGTAACGCAGGCAGCAGCATCGCTGTTTCTTCAGCCTACACAGTGTGTGCAGTTTGCGATTGTGCAGCTTGCCGGGGAGAGGGAAAAGCAGTTGGTGTTCCTCTTAAGGAGAGGAATGGGGAAAGAACCTGCGAAAGGCACCCGCTTTTGGTGCCGAGAGCTGACATCAGGTCAAGGATGGGTCATGCAAAACCAAAGATGCGTCTTGGTAGCCACCACGGAGGATAAGAAGCAGTTTGTGGACAATGTGGCAGTAGAAATACAGCCTCTCACAGCTGGAGAAGTGTGTTATGTACAACTCCAGCTCCTCTTGAAAGAGAAACCCCGTTGCTGCTGATCCTAAACCCTGGTGTGAGGCAGCAGACAGGTGCCTCCGGTGCTGGGAGGTTTCTGGCCATGCGCTTGGCACAGCAGAAGGGCTGCGTTAGGGACCACTCGGGCCAGTCGTGCTGATTTCACCCCTCTCTTGTTTTGTACAGGCACGACGAGTTTGACTTCATCTCGGGAACACGCATGAGAAAGCTTGCTCGTGAAGGTGAAAACCCGCCAGACGGCTTTATGGCCCCCAAAGCTTGGAAAGTCCTAACCACATACTACCAGTCGCTGGAAAAGAAGAATTAACGCTACTAGTCCTACCTAGAAATACTTGTATTAAGAGTGAGCAATGATTGATTGATTCCCTATGACACAGATCAGTTACTTGGCATTTCCAGTGCTCTGACTGTAGGGTTTTCCTATCTGGGTCAGAGGTTTTTTTACTAATCAGAAATACTTTGAGCCTGATCTTTCTCCCCTCGAAGCTGCCAGGAGTGTCCCCATGGAGCCGGGCCTTTCCTTCCCAGCTGAGCGTGGCTGCGGGAGACCCAGCACGGCCTCCAGATGGGCCTACCTGGGTCATTTTGGTGCCGCCAGGGCCACACACCCACCCCCATACAGAGCTGGGACCTCGGCACCACAATAAAAACGTGTCTTGTCATCTGCATGGAGCAGAAATGAAGAAGTGCCTTTCTGCTACCCCTCACCCAGCGCTGCCCGAAGATGCAGAAGCAGCCGCTGAAGTGAGGAGCAGCTGCTGCTGCTGGGGTGGGAGAGGAAAACGGGCACTCGATGCTCGGATCCAGTCACTGCCCTCCAGGTTGTGCTTTATACAGTTTTTGATAACAAACAGTGGGATTTTTTTAACGTCTTTTTTTAAAAGGATTTTTTTTTTTTATCAGCCTTGACCATCACCAGTTCCTTGTGGCCGAGAGAATTGCTCACTGTTCTTCCTTGCTTCCTCCTGCTTGACCTCTCCACTCAAAACAAAACCAGGGCTCAGTGTTACTGGTGTTCCAAGTTCAGCTTTCCGTGGGGTCACTGCTGTGGCCATCCCTGCGCTCACAGCCCCGTGGGCCCACGGGCAGGGGAAGCTGCCCTGGGAGGCACCGTAAAGCCTGGGAGATCCCGGAGACCGCTCAGGGCAGTAAGCAAAAACGGGATGCTGTTGGGTGTATCCTCAAACCATGCAGGATGGGAATCCCTCTTTCCTCTACCTGTGCTCCTCCCATCCAAAGGGTGAATTAAAGGCAAAACACAAAGCAAAATCACAGCGTGAGGTGGGTCCGAGCAGCAGCACCTGTAACCCAGGTGAGAGGTGGCTCAAGTGCTTGCCCTCATCCATACCTGTAGACCTGCACGGGTCCAGGTGACCTCATTTCACTTTGTATCTGTGGGATGGGGACGTTGCCTCCAGCCAGGGGGGATGGCAGAAAAGTCCTTGGGTACCCCCAGCCTGCAAGGGGTGATGGGGCCCAGCTGAGTGCCAGTGGCTGGTGGAAAGTTACTGCAGACTCTGCCTTCTTTTTTTTCCCTTCCCTTCCCCACACGGACTTTGCTGCTGTGCATGAGGCTCCTCCGCTGGCTCCAGCTCCTGTGGTGACCTCTGGCAGGGCTTGGCAGCGACTCCGCACCGAAACTTTACCTGACCCCCTCTGCATCTCGCCCCAGGCACATCCTGCTGGGGCTGGTGTGTGTCTGGGGGGTGGTTGTGGTTTGAGCGCGATGCCCTGCCTGGCTGGGACCCCTCAGCCGCCTGCCTGCGGGAAAGGGCTGGGCTGGGGCGCCGCCTCCCTGGCCACTGCATGCACGTGGGAGGTTTAGGGGTTTTTTTTGGGAGGGGAAGACAACTATGCACTTGTTAGTTAACGCAGCCACATGAATTGATTTTTGTATACTTGTCCTTTCTTAGTAGACACCCCAGGACCAGTCAGAATGTGTTTCAAATGGAATGGAAATAGAGCGTTCCCCTTTCTTGTGCTTCAGTTTTGATGACAAAGGGCTCTGTGCTCAGTGACAGCAATCACACCTCCACTCGTCCCTTGGGGTAGGGAGCTGCATCACAAGCTAAAACCTGTTTTGCTGTGGCCATGGTACAGTGTCCGAGAGTACGTATGCGATTTGGAACACTTCTGCAAAAAGTCTTTGCTCATTTGTCAACTCTTTCGGGTTTATTTTTTTGTAATTTTTGTGAATATTTGGAGCAGAGAGTCCAAAGCTGTGTTATACCTCAACAAAGATGCTGCACCACCACCCGTGTCAGTGGCTGAAAGCCCACTCGCACCAGTGCCTTTTACACTCAGGCCCTCTGGCAGGGACCTGGAGGACAGAAGCAATACTTCCATTTACTTTTGCGATATTTGTAATTTTTAAGTAGCGAACAGTGCTGTTGCTACTCAAAATAATCAAATGGTTAAAAAAAACCCCAAACCTACAGTAAATCCAAATGGTTACAGCAAAACACAACTGTTGTATTATCCTTTTAAAATAGCATAGTGTACTGATTACCTCTGATTAAACTAGAATACGTGGACTAGGATTTTTTTTTATAGTGTATTTATTAAAGACATGAGACTGGAATTTGTACTTCAACTGATGCATCTCATGATTTAATATATTCTGAACTTGATACTCTGCTACAAAACCCTCACTTTTAGTACAAATAAATATTTATACATGTAGCTACTCTCACTTTGCATTTTTTTGGGGGAAAATTACAACCAGGTGTTTCATCAGGAGCTGTGACAGGGCTGTAGCCACAGGAGCTCCCCCCCCCCCCCCCCCCCC